TCACTCCACCTGATAATCATAATGACAAACAGATTTCTAATCATTACCATCGCGTCATTTCCAGTACAAAATGAGGTATGCTATCACCAAGCATGAACCCATCACCACCTGTTAATAAAACTGGGTGAACCCCGGCACTGAATGATGAAGATTATTGGATGTTTCTTAGTGAACCCTACAGAGTAGAACTACTAAACTCCTCATTAAGGCATCGTGTAGGAAGCCAGCTTCAGGTTCAAGTACTGAGATGAAATTCTATGGGTAGAGGATCTTTTCAACACCTATTCGAATTTCACGTATGAAGGAGAGTTTTAACAAACCAGCGCGACACATTCTTTATGTGGTATTTGGTACATGTTAAAAGGCAGAGGAAATTAATGATGTTGCTGTGTCATGTACAGATTGGGAGTTTGTAAGTTTATGCATTGGTTATTTGAAAAACGATTGATTGATTGATTGGTTGATTGATTAATGTTTGAAATAATGTAGAATATGACATATTATGGGACCTATTTGGTTTTGGTACAACTGTGTCCACTTTTTCCTGCTGCTGATGGATAGAACAAGCTAATTGCCCTCCTCACCCGGACCTGGAAGTATGGAAAGTATGTCAGGACTTTCATTACATTCCAAGGGGGCACGGGTGGCCCAGTCGTCTAAGGCGCCGCGATTCGCTGTGCAGAGTTGCGTCCCTTGGGCACGCCAGAAACCTATGATTGTGGGTTCGAATCCCGGTTCGCCCCGATTATGTTTCTAGGTTTGTCAGCACCATACCCGTGCTCGTGGGTTTCACCGAAGTGGTAAACATCTGAGACCTACATCACTTCGGGCTTTCCTCCCAAATTAAGCTCACATGCCGCGATATAACTGGAATACTGTTCAAAGCGGCGTTAAACCCAACTCACTCACTCATTACATTCCAAAGTTAAATGTACTTTCCAAACATCCATCTTTGTTGTTCTGCTCCCTCATGAAATTAGCCATTTCTGTTAAGATTTTAAGCTCACCAGGTCTGAAAGCAGTCTTTTTAAGTGGCTGTCTTTGTTGACATTTTAAACTGTTGACATCATATCCAGGTGAGCTACAGTGCCATTTTCAGAGGGATTTGTTGTAATACCTTCTTAAAAGCTGTTAAAAATCACTGAAATGGAAATTATGAATCAAGTTGATACATTGTACACTGAAAATCAAAAATAGATATATTTCCGTTAAAGCCAAAATTCCTTATTGTGGCATCATGTCTGGGGCAGGTTGTTCATGCTATTTCTGGAATAATGTTCCTGGAATGTCATCCAAGAACAGTTTAGAATGTGCTTGCAGAAGGATCTTCCCTGTATGTCATAAGGACAAGATATATCCGGTTTTGTTGGCAGATGAAAATATTTCCAAAAATATTCCACTGACGTAGAAAATTGGAACCTTGGAGGAATTGTGTACAATTTTGTTTTCATGGTGATATTTACTAAGTCCCTTTGCACTAGAAAATCATGTCTTTTTGAATGGTGTCTAGGGCATGCTGCCACACTATTCCTGAAGCATGATGTACCAGTGATTGAACCCCTCCGACATTTGCAGGGTGTTCAGGAAACCAAATCTTCATCCACACCTATCAGCATGTTGGCCCAGCGTTTCCTGACTGGCGGAGGATGCCACACATTCCTGCCTCACATACCTGTACATAATCTCCCCAGTTGCACAGTCAGACTAGAAAGGGTTCCTGCAAACCAAGCCGCTTGCTTCATTTGATCAGTCACAACCAGCAGCCAAACCTTCACCGTGATTGTTTTCATATGGGGGGTTCTGAATTGTCTCCTTCACAGATCTGGTTCGTGTAGAACTGTTGGGCGTTGCAAAGATATGCCATGACCTGTTGGAATATGGGAGAGCAGGGTATTGTTGTTTACAGTGGGAATATGAATTTGATATTCTATATGTGAGTGAGTGAGTAAGGTTTTTTGATGCTTTTAGCATTATTCAGCCCTATCACGGTGAGGGACACCAGAAATGGGCTTCACACATTGTACCCATGTAGAGATTTGTATTCAGGTCTATACAAGCAGATGCTTCATGTAAAACACTTTTTTGAAATTATGTTTTGCGTGCAATAAATAAATTGCAAGTTATTACATGGCACTTGATTGACTTAACCAAGCAATTTCTTTTGCGTTTATGTTATATAAACTGAAAAAGAAAATAGTAAGCAACACCCACAAATGGACTACTGTGTCTTGATTGGTTGATAATAGAATGGGCGGGGCTTATGTTGCATTATTGCGCAGAACAATGTTGTTATGCCTGGAAGCAGCTGTTTTGCAGTAGGATGTGGTGCAAGTTTAGATTTGTTTAATTTCTTAAGTTCTACTGACAATGACAAGTGTAAACAGATTTAAAACACCTGGACTATTACTTCAATAAAAACTAGAAACCTTTTGGGGGAAATGAATGTAGTCCTCTGCTGGTAGAGAAAGAATCTAGACATTAGCCTTCTTGTGGGGGAATTCAGTCTCCTGATAGAGACAGGGGCTAGACATTAGCCTTCTTGTGGGGGAATTCAGTCTCCTGATAGAGACAGGGGCTAGACATTAGCCTTCTTGTGGGGGAATTCTGTCTCCTGATAGAGAAAGAATCTAGACATTAGCCTTCTTGTGGGGGAATTCAGTCTCCTGATAGAGACAGGGGCTAGACATTAGCCTTCTTGTGGGGGAATTCTGTCTCCTGATAGAGACAGGGGTTAGACATTAGCCTTCTTGTGGGGGAATTCAGTCTCCTGATAGAGAAAGAATCTAGACATTAGCCTTCTTGTGGGGGAATTCAGTCTCCTGATAGAGACAGGGGCTAGACATTAGCCTTCTTGTGGGGGAATTCAGTCTCCTGATAGAGACAGGGGTTAGACATTAGCCTTCTTGTGGGGGAATTCAGTCTCCTGATAGAGACAGGGGTTAGACATTAGCCTTCTTGTGGGGGAATTCTGTCTCCTGATAGAGACAGGGGCTAGACATTAGCCTTCTTGTGGGGGAATTCTGTCTCCTGATAGAGACAGGGGCTAGACATTAGCCTTCTTGTGGGGGAATTCAGTCTCCTGATAGAGACAGGGGCTAGACATTAGCCTTCTTGTGGGGGAATTCTGTCTCCTGATAGAGACAGGGGCTAGACATTAGCCTTCTTGTGGGGGAATTCAGTCTCCTGATAGAGACAGGGGCTAGACATTAGCCTTCTTGTGGGGGAATTCAGTCTCCTGATAGAGACAGGGGTTAGACATTAGCCTTCTTGTGGGGGAATTCAGTCTCCTGATAGAGACAGGGGCTAGACATTAGCCTTCTTGTGGGGGAATTCTGTCTCCTGATAGAGACAGGGGCTAGACATTAGCCTTCTTGTGGGGGAATTCAGTCTCCTGATAGAGACAGGGGCTAGACATTAGCCTTCTTGTGGGGGAATTCTGTCTCCTGATAGAGACAGGGGCTAGACTTTAGCCTTCTTGTGGGGGAATTCTGTCTCCTGATAGAGACAGGGGCTAGACATTAGCCTTCTTGTGGGGGAATTCTGTCTCCTGATAGAGACAGGGGCTAGACATTAGCCTTCTTGTGGGGGAATTCTGTCTCCTGATAGAGACAGGGGCTAGACTTTAGCCTTCCTGTGGGGGAATTCAGCCTCCTGATTTTGAATTGCTAGACATTAGTCTAGCTGTGGGGAATTCAGCCTCCTGATTTTGAATTGCTAGACATTAGCCTAGCTGTGGGGAATTCAGCTTCCGGATTTTGAATTGCTAGACAATGGAGGATTGTTAAAGTCCTTGGCTAGTGACCGAGGCATGAGATTCTGTATTGGGAAATGCAGTTCTCTTCTACAATTGCTTGATAGATGGGTGTCAGTTCCTGCAGACATTGTCCTCATTATCAGCTTCTGTTTGTGTCAGGCTCTCTGGTGACTCATACTTTCACAGTAATTTGTTTGTCAAGGCTGAGAATGAAATATCAATTCATAATAAACTGGAATACTAATATTTTTATCGGTATGCGTACTGGATAAAGAATGACCAACAGATTACAATATGAGAACACCCTAATTTTTCTTCCTACTCTCATGGGGCGATATATCCGCACAACTTGATATTTCTGTGGTTTATACATTCGCCTACTTTCCTATACCGGTGACATTTGAGATGGTTACATCTTCATTCATTGACACTTATTTATATTTCAGGAACTGTGTATTGGTTTGTGTAGTTCAGTAAACCCTGGACAAAGAGGGATGAAAGAGTTTGTGAAGCAGTCAATCACCAACTGATCAAGGAATTAGTTTATTTTGCTTGTAACTGTCATTTGAATTGAAAAAACTTGAAATCCTTAATACTTTTACATTTTATGATGAGGTACTGAAAGGTACAACAAAGATTAGGGACATCGGTTTGATTAGAAGTGACAAGCATGTGACAGTACTTGCACGCTGCTGTTGACAATTACTTAACTGTTAAAATTCTAGATTTTCCCCGACCCTATAACTATATAGGACAATTGATCTTGTTGAGATTCATAGGCATTTGCATCATGAGTGTGTTTGTTTGGCCTGCTGACCTTTGTATTGGTGTTACAATGCGTTTAGTTGCATGTGTTCATTATTAAGAATCTGGGGTAGAATAGGTCTTCAGCAACCCATGCTTGTCGTAAGAGGCGACTAACAGGATCGGGTGGTCAGGCTCGCTGACTTGGTTGAAGCGTGTCATCAATCCCAATTGTGTGATTGATGCTGATGATATCAATCACTGGATTGTTTGGTCCAGACTCAATTATTTACAGACCGCCGTCATATAGCTGGAATATTGCTGAGTGCGGCATTAAACAACAAACAAACAATTGAATAAAGCCTGTTTTCAGTATTAAGAAACATACCATTCTTGCCTTCGCCATGATGCTGCATAAAAAAGTAATCCCTCACTCACTTGCTCATGCTGATTAATGTTTGTCATGTTCAAACTGTGAAATGTTTGCCTTAACACTAGTCACAGCCTTCGAGTATTTGATTCTGATCACCATCTTCGCCAACTGCATTGCGCTGGCAGTGTACACGCCGTTCCCCCAGTCAGATTCCAACGAAGTCAATGCAGCATTGGTATGTATGGATTAGAATTAACATTTTAACAATTCCAAGAAATAAAAAAAACAGTACATTATAAGCATCAATATGTTTTTCTGTTTATATTACTCAGAAAATTCTATATAAAATTATAATTATTGTTATTATTATTATTATTATTATTAGTAGTAGTAGTAGTAGTAGTTGTAGTAGTAGATTTCAGATACATATAATAAACAGTTGAAAGATGTTTCAAGTTAATTTAGTATGGTTATTGTATTTTATTAAGGCGGTTGGTAAATTTTATTGTTTTGTCTTTCAGGAAAAGATAGAGTATGTGTTCATTGTGATATTTACACTGGAAGCTGTTCTCAAGATAATAGCATATGGCTTTGTTCTTCATGCTGGTGCTTATCTACGAAACGGATGGAATATCTTAGATTTTATCATAGTTGTTATAGGGTGAGTATGAGCTTTTAATTGATATTTTTACACTTTTTCAGTGATTATATGCATGTAGATTAAAAAACAACCTTTCATGGACTGAAACGCTGCAGTTCACACTTACACAAACATGTCGTTCATTTCAGTGTGATTATTGCCTGTTCAAAGACAGCAGTACTGTCATGGTTGAATAGGATAAGGTACTATGCCTGACCTGGCATAAGGAACCACAATTCAAAATGTGGAGTTTCCTCCCTTAGCCATGATCATGAGGCCTAATCTCAGATTTGGCCCATTTAATAACTGTTCTCAACACAGTACCCCATCTTCCTGAAGCATACTTTGCAAATCCAGCAATCGACTGAAATCTGTACATCAGTTTACAAAGCGGATGTCGATTTGGTTACACGATTTTGATTGGACTTTGCATAGACTCGTTAGTCTAGACAAAATATAACTCCACAGTTCCAGGGTGGTAACTGAACTTTTATAGTCCATTAACTCCCTTGCCTCAGGAAGATGCACAGTAAGAGATTCCCCAGAGTGGTGTATGTCTACAACTGGCATCACTTGGGCTTTCTTCACATGTCCAGCATACATACCATGATAGAACCAAAATACTGTTCATGACGCATTGGGTCTAATTCTGTCCAACTCAGGTTGGAAACCCTTGGTCTTCAGTAGTTCTTCTAGTTCTTCTTCTGGGAAGGAAAGACCCAAACAATAGTGGTACCAAAGAAGGACTCAGATGGTTACCATGACAGTTTCTCTGTGTGTGTTTTTTTCAGTCCCATAAACTTGTTTATATAGGAAATGAATATAAATATTTTCTGTTTCAATACATTTGTATCTGTATTGGAGGTTGAGTCACCTCAATAATGATCCTATGTGACCTTACCCATCCTTGAGGGTTTTACCAAGCGGTGACTGTCTATGGCCTGCATCTTCTTAAGACTGCCACATGGTGAAAAAACTGAAAACAAATACTCTTGGTTGAAGTGGTCATGGATATCTCTGTTGTCTTCTGCTGCTATTCGCTGTGCAGTCTTGAAGCCATTATCGTATGATCATGGGTGTGAATCCCAGATCTGGTTGTCCTTTTGTTATTTTTTACATTTTTTACATGTCTGTAACTATTGTGCTGGAACATTGCATGAATGATCCCAGCTATTGTGTCTATAAAAGGTGTGTACAATATTCTAATCCATCTCTAAACATGGCCACCATGGCAGCCATATTGAAAATGTAATGTTTCTCAGGCATATCTGCTTGTATCATTATGAATTTTGATATGCAGCAAGTATGTGGTAAGTGGAATAACATATACACATAGTTTATTAACATTTCTTCATAATGCAGGTGAGCTACATAGCCTAGTGGCTATAATTTAGTTATGATTAATAGCCACAAAACTATTGAATGTTTCAAAGAATGTCTGTTCATAGATTGTGAGTGAATAGTGTGATATGTTATACTCAGAGTACATATAAGATACTAAAATCTTTAAGATATCCACACAAACAAATCCAATTAAAATTATATTTAAAAATGCAGATGGAAATTCCTCTGAATTGAAAGTTTCATTCCTTAATGGATAGACTTAAGAAGATTATGTTTTTTTCTTTAGTAATTAATGTAACAGTAAGACGGTAACAATGATTTGTTCATGAAGTGGAAGTACTTTGGGCAGGAATGTGTGATTCTGACTTGAGAACGTGTATGGTACTCGTGGAATCTAGTAATATATTGACTTCTTTATTACACAAGCAAAGAGATGGGGTGTAAATCACCAAGTTAATCAATCCCAGTACATTCAGCTGATTGGTTGAATGTAGTGTTTGATATATATATACATTTCCTGACAAAATGAGGCTCTATATGAGGGTGAAAACACTTACTGAAATTTGGTAAAATTAAAACGAACAGTTTTGATAGATGGATTAGACAATAGAACTATGAGGAAACACTGTTTTTTTAGAATGACATGTTCAATACTTTGTAGCGTGCTTGGTGCTCATAAGTTCTGTTTTGTTTATTTGTTGTTTAACGCCACACTCAGCAATATTCCAGCTATATGACAGCGGTCTGTAAATAATTGAGTCTGGAACAGACAATCAAAGACTGACATCATGAGCATCGATCCTGATTGGGGATCGATGACATGCATCCACCAAGTCATGGAGCCTGACCACCCGATCCCGTTAGTCGCCTCTTTTGACAAGCATAGTGCTTAAACCTCAAAGGGTGACATATATGTCTGTGTCATCTGCCTTGACCTTGCTGTAAAATGGCTACCCCTCTCCATGGTGTACACAGCATCTCCAGCATGCAGGGATGAACATCAAGTTCCTGTTGAGTCCTTTAGTGCCCCGGTTAGTTGATTTAATACCACTAAATGATGTTAGGGTACCAATCAGTGAGTCAAGCTGTCAAAATTGAGTCTTTATTTCGTCAACAGCAATGAAATAGTCACCAGTAATGATACAGAACGTGGTCCAGCATTCACCCACTGCAGGGTGTGGTGGAAAGTTATTGAGTCTAAATTGTGAGGAAATAACCATGTTATAGACAGCCTGGGATATATTGTCCAAATTAGAGTCTAAGGAACACAAATGCCAGCTGATTAAGTGACAAATAATGATTGTGTGGCAGGACCCCTCATGTGGAGCCTCACGCACTCATCAATACTTTTTTCAAGATGAGTGATTGGAGTAGGTCAGGGGTCAGGGGGTCAGATTCTGGCTAATTGTCAGCCTTGTGTATTGTGGAATACTACCAGATTCAGGCCAGTGGCTGGGATAAGGAAGGGAAAGCCCTAAGGGATTGAGTAATCAGGGCGAGGAGCCGAAATGATCCGGGATCATAAACTGGAAGAATCAGACGTGGATTCTGTTCCGGACCCGGGCTATCTCTCCTCAGCGCGATATCTCTTTGTTGGAATAATTGCTTTTGTCACAAGTTTCGAAGAATTATTGAGATAATAAATTCATGCTTTTCTCTGGGGTCTATGTAACTGTAATGATTTTTCGGTGGTGGTGGTGGTGAATGGTATAATCTTCCTATGGAGCTATGCTACCTGTTTGTAACTTGTTTGTGTGTGGCATGCTGTGGTCTGTGTGTGATGAATGTGTTTTGTTGTAGACGGCAGACATGCATAATTACACAAAGACTGACCTGTCCTGACTTCGTGATCAGATCACGCTCACTTATACGAAAAAAGGAAGATTTGGGGAAACGATTTCACAAGGGAAGGCATTGGGGAGTATGATTTATGTGCCGTTTGTGAAGCAATGACAAGTTGGTTGGAATATTACTTGAGAGACAACAGCTGCAACAGTTGAGAATGAATAGGTACTGGACTGCATACATTCCACAACTCAACAAACTGAAAATGGATCTTCTGACTGAAGGATACCGCCTCTGGTCATTAATCCTGTCATGGACATGTATGTGGTATAGTTTGACCAACAGTGAAGTCACCAGTTGTAGTCGCAGTCTTTCTCCAATCCGACACTCTGTACACCTCACCTTCCCTAATCCAGAAGTTAATAAATTGACCATCGAGCATATTTTTAATAAAACAGTCAACCCTCTTCCATTCTCATCCTATTTTATGATGATTAATTTGTTCTCATCGCTCTATGACAGTGAGTGCCTAAACACTCGGCTCTTAGCATCTTAGTATATTTTAGTGTTATATGGACATTTATTAGCTGAGCTTACTAGACCAAACAAAACTAAACTAGTCTTGGGCTTCAGACCAGTGGCTGAAGTTACAGACTGATATGGCTAAATTATGGCGATGTGATGTAAAATGTTACTCACTCACTCACTTAATCTAGCAGCCTCTCAACATCAGCCCGGGGGAAGATATTTGAGTGTACTTTAATACTCGAGGTTTCCTTAGTAGAATTATTTTTTTAAAGTTTATACAATGCTTAATACAGGACTATATGGTGAATTGCATCATCTAGGCAGCTGTGACCTTGGGACAGTTCAGCCAGAAGACTCTTGCCTGGGGAAGCATTCTGTTAGTAATAATTTGGGTTATTACTGAGTAAGCATATTTGTTGTCGGCCTGCCAAGACCCTCTCTCCTGGAGATAGATGGCCCTTTTATCTATCTCAACGGAATAATCAGTCACACAATGCCGTGGAGTATTAGGTGTTCAATGTGATCCTTATGTATCGTAATAAACAAGAAACAAACAGAAACAAGCCGTTACACTTAGGATGCAACTAACTGATTTACAAAAGGGGAGAACCAAAATGTGGGGGAGGGAGGTTAAGCCATTTGGGATAACATTATCAATTCTGCAGACTTTGTAGTTTGCATCCAAGACCCTTGAGAACAATTATAATTGAATCCAACTCAAGTCTGAAATGGTTTGGCAAGTCTAGATTGCCAGAAATTGAGCATTGTTCTAGGCTCCATTTTGATTTTATATTATTTTGTAGGTATCTATTTTTAATTAAGATAACTTTATTTCTGGGACTAAAGGTTAGTCTACAGCCTAGTGTGTGTGGCCTGCGACACGACCCTCCCCACAATCTGAACGTTCCTGCATGTGTCAGGTCCTGGCAGCATGCCTGTATTCAAACCCATCATTGTCCCTCGCAAACAGGAGCATCTTTGGCATGGCTGATGTTGAACCAGATGGGTTTCAGTTGAAAATCAGGAAGTCCTTGTTTTGCAATGATGTAGTGTGTTCCATGTCTTCAGCTAGATTTTTTCAGTAAAAAGATGCGGTACAGAAAATTGTTTTGAAAAAATTCAAGAACCCTTGGGAAATCAGGACATTTCAATGTATGTTAAGAGTTAGAGAGAATCAAAAGACTTGGATGACGTTAAGGTCTCCACAACAATATGCATGGTGCTGCTCCCCGGGGGAACGCAACAGATTGTCAGGTCAGGAAGTTATTGGCCTGTTACAACACCAGGAATCGCCCAGCAGTTGTATAATGCCCTGCCCATTACTGATGGTCTTCATATAATGACACCTGTAACTCCACTGACCT